TAGAGTCAATAATTGTAGTTGCTATTTCTGAGAGAATAGAAAAGATTAAAGTTTACCGTGGGCGTTTCTGAAATCATTCTGTACTAAATTGCACTGCTGGTTTCTTTTGCTCCATCCAGGTAATTAAAGCAGTAGAAGAAGGCTACCGTCTACCAAGCCCCATGGACTGTCCGGCTGCTCTCTACCAATTAATGCTGGATTGCTGGCAGAAAGATCGAAATAGCAGACCCAAGTTTGAGGAAATCGTCAACATGTTGGACAAACTGATTCGCAACCCAAGTAGCTTGAAGACGCTAGTCAATGCATCAAGCAGGTAGGAGGCGAGCCTGTGGGATGTCCCTGAATGTAGCTAATACAGGCTGATGTCACAAATATATTTCATTAATATGGTTTTCTTGCATTGGCTGTTTTTCTAAATGATGTTTTTACTTATTTTAATATAATATTAAGTGACCAATATAAAGTGCTGACATATTTCGAACCAGACATCTCGAGTAGAAATCACTCTCTAGCTTCTTCAGGATTCATTTTAGTGTCTGTCCTAGTGAATGAACAGTGAGATCCCCTGCACTGAGCCTTCAGGTCCTATGCATGCATGCATACAGTTACTGTTCTGAACGGGATATAAATGTACTAAATAATGATTCCATTGTGGGAAGTATGCTTCTCCATTTATTCTGAAAATACAAAAGTATCCTCCTGCAAAATGTACTATCTTATTCAGTACTTGAGAATGTACTATACTTGAGACAGTTGTCTATTCTTATAATGAATGATATCATGAAAGTAACATATGTAATTGTCAATTATAACAAAATGAATGAGAAATATTTCATTGATAAAGTTATACAAATTCTGTGATTCTGACATTACATTTTTTTACTGGACACAAAATAAATACAAAGGAGGAATGATTTTGCAAATGCTGTTCAGGTATTATTGATTTTCTACAGAAACAACTGAAAATGCATCGTAGTAGCAATTATTTTTTATGTCGTTTCCCAAATACCTGCTTTTGAGTTATTTATTATCATAGGAAAATTCTTTTTATCTCATGTGTTAGTCTGGGAACTTTAGAGAAGCAAAATCCACAGAAACTCATGTATAAGGGAGAGTTTTATATAAAGGTTAAGTGCACATCAAGAAAACATCCCAACCCAATGCTGCCCAAGCCCACAAGTCCAACATGAATCCGTATGTCCAACACCAATCCACAGAGTCCTCCTCCATCTCACAAAACACACTCTGTGATGCCAACTGCAGGACGAAAACCCAATCAGTGAACATGTAAACATCTCAACACTGGCAGGGGTGCTCCAGCACCGAGGGCTGCATCGGGGTAGCTCCATGTGGCTTCTTTAGGGGATGTTTTGCAGAAAGTGAGCCTTGCCGGTTGAAGCAGAGAACTGGCTAAGGCAGCTGCACCCTGTGTGACCATCATAGAGCAAGAGACCAAGAACTAGAAAGGCGAGGCTCACTGAACCATTTATCCCTCCACCCTTCAATTAACCCAACATGTGTTTATCAGCCAGGTTGGCACAATAAACTACCTCATCTGACATCCACTAATTTAATTAGGTTGTGTAAGATAGGTTGTCACAAATGGACTTGAGAAAATAAATCATAGAAGCAAATTGCAAATGTCTTTTTAATGTACATCATCTGCATTATCACTTCACTTTTAAAGCAGATTGACATTTTCAAAGAAATTTTATGTTTTCTTCTGGGCTATGTTTTTTATTCCGCTTACTGTAGTGGAAATACACATACAGGGTTTCATTAAAACAAATTTAACTTTAAGACAATAGTACTCAATATCCATTAATATTTCTTGGTTATCTGCCAATCTCAGTTTCAAGCAATAGTTTCTAATGCATCATGTCTCTTTCTGTCTCCACCATGTCACAAGTCTTAAAAGTCAATTAATGAAGAGCATGTGTTTACTGGTGGCAATTGTCTACAAAATGCTCACATTTCGTGTCTGTCTACTTGTGTCGTTCTTCGGCTATGTGCTAAGTGCAGAACATTGGACAAAGAGGCACAGGCTGCTGCTATGTTTATCTCTAACATTGTTAAAGGAGAGAGAGATTGAAAAAGAATACCTTTTGATGATTGTTATGAGCTGTAAGAGAACCCAATAAAATGATTTATTAGGGAAAAAAAGCTTTTAAAAAAATAATTTGGATTTGGTTGAATGAGTTCAAGTAGAATTCCTGAGGAAAACTAGAAGGCTAGAGAAGTTTTGTAGGTAAGATATTATGATTTCTTGAACTAAAATGTTATGAAATAGCCAGATGGGCAGTATACTAGAAGTAAAAATATGCTGTAAGTGCCCTAATATCTTGGGTGAAGAGACTGAAAAGGAGCAGAGTGGACTGCTGTGTCCTCTGCTAAAATGGAAAGTAGTGTAGGATGTTTTAGATATAGAAAAGATGAAGAATGTGTGTATACATCTAGTAGGTAGCATATATCTAATTGACATGAGAGGCATATTATAGATTAAAGTCAGGACATTTTGGTATGTGATGTTATTTAAAGTCATGAAAGTAGATAAAATTACCTAGAGTGGAATTTTAGCTTAAAGAGAGAAGAGATAAGAAGAAGTCCTGCTGTCTTCCAATTAAACTCCGGAACAAAGGAAATAGCAGACAAACAAAAGTGTGGAAGAATCAGGAGCATACTGGTAATGGTAGCTCTGGAAATGAAGACTCATTGAAAAATGTTTGAAGTAGACAAGGACAGACATGTTCTGATTATGATTGTTTCTTGCACATCATTTACCATATCGACTTTTACATGTCTACAGATTTTGGCAAACTGGGTTATTATCTCAACAAGAGAAATTCCATAGAATGGTATTTGAAGAAAATAAATTGAAGTACACATGATATAAAAAAAGATAAGAGAAGATTAGCAAAGACTTTCTGTCTCATATCTTGTAGGTGAAATTACTCATCCGATGGACATTTAAATGGTTTTCAGTGTTTATTTCATCAGCAAACAAATAAAAATTTCCATGTACATGTTACCTACCATATTTCCTTAGGATCATTCATTGCCAGGGGGTCATTTCGTACTCACGGGGTGCCTGCCCTCCAAGACAGGGTAGAACTACACCTGTAGATGTGCAGCATTAACTTGTTAGGGAGTAGAAAACCTTATCTTTTTCCCAAGGAGGGGCTGGTGGTTTCGAACTGCTCACCTTTTGCCTGGCAACCCAATGCAAAACTGTTATACCACCAGGGCTTCGGGAGATAGAGTTCTAGAAATTGTAATCATAATTGACCAAAGAATATGAACCTAATATAGTTAAGAGTTGGTGCAATTGCTTTTTCATATTTATTTGAAGCTATATTTTATTATCTATATTCTCCCTTCTCTAGATAAATTAAAAAGTACCCCCTATGTAGGAGTATACATTTCTAGGTAAATGGCTTCTAGGTATACAAGAAAAGTATCTTTAAGTAAACCAGTGTTTTAGGTAGCAAAATCTGGATGCCACTGATTTTGCATGAATTTTTCTGCATATCCATATATAGTAGCATTTTAAATTATTTTTCCAAAGAGACCAATAGTTAGAAGTAAATATATATGTAAATCCCACAAAAACATTAGCTAATGATGTGTTTGCAGAAAATTTCCCTTTTCACCTATTATAAATCCTTATTAATATGGATTAAAAAACTCCCGATGAGGTGATTTTATGTCCTCCTAACTTTTATTTTCCTTCATGTTAGCATTTGCATATTATTGTAGACCCAAAGATTCCTTGCAATCACCTAATGTTACAACGGAATCTATTATAAAACATTTTAAAATGTAATTTAAATATTTATGTTTTATGTATTTTAGAGTATCTAATTTATTGTCAGAACATGGGCCCTTGGGTTCCGGGGCATACAGATCAGTAGGTGAATGGCTGGAAGCCATCAAAATGGGCCGCTATACGGAGATTTTCATGGAAAACGGATACAGTTCAATGGACGCTGTGGCTCAGGTGACCTTGGAGTGAGTAACTTTTCTGATCATTTTTACGTAGTTGTTGGGGCAAGGAAACCAATCTGGATGGGGGCCAGGGAGATCAATTAACTGTGTCTACGTGCGGCAGCTTTCAAAGAAGCCTTCTCTTTTGTCAGCCTGTATTGTTCACCACTGCATGGTTAATGCGACTTGTTCCCGGTCCCTTTGCTTCTTGGCTTCATAGGTTAGCATTTGAGTTCTTTTAGTAGCAGCCCCGTGACAAAATACTGCTATTAATGTGCTGTGAAGAAGATGTTTTCCTGACAAAGTTTTATACTGGTTATCTATGTTATATGAATGTAAATACAAAACAAACTGTAAGCACAATTGGTATGGCTCGTTCTGTATAATAACAAATGATTAAATATTGTCTATCTTCAGTGAATATCCAGGTCACCACAGTGAAAACAAAGCTCATGAGGGCAGGAATCTCGTTTAAATCTCCAAGTGGTACACACGGTAGCCTGCGGCACAGGGTATTTTTGATCCTGCCTAGGATTTGCTTTCAGTACAATCTCAGTGGAACCAACTGTGCCCTTTTCTGTTTGCACGTTTAAGATACACTTTATGACTTCTTATTCAATAAAAATCGCTAGATGTTAAGCACTAAATTATTTATGATTGTCAGCTTTTTGTATTTTGTTATAAAATCTCTGTGTAATTATTTTAGCCTAATATGTGTTATTTGTTAAAATTAACTGTATCCATTGTAGTTTCATCTAGATTATGTTAACATTAATAATATTTTAACCTCTGGATTTAGTGATAACATACTTCAAATTAACCACAAATTCAAAGGTTAAACTATTATTCAAAGTACTGCAACATTGTAAACTGTACTAAAGCACAAAAAACAACTGCCTTTTTCCTTTATTTCACATAATGTGCACATTGAGCAGTTTTCTGTCAGCATGTCTATTGTTACAGAATACTTCTATTCAATAAATTCGCTGTCAACCCCCACAATAGGGAACAGGGTACCACCATTTAGCACCAGTTAATGCCACATTCTCAGCAGTTTTCTTCCCTTACACTTATAACAGTACAGACATAAAATTGCCACTCAGTTTTCTCCATTTATGAAATCTCATTTTCACCATCACCACTGAATCACCCACTTAATCACACATGTGCTTTAACTATTATTTCTTCACACACAAAGGATTTATTTGTGTTATATTTAAAGATAAGCTGAAGAATTTACTGATAATTTATAACTATTTTGCATAATTGCTATTTAATTTTTCAGTAAAAATGATCACTTTAATTTATTAAATTCATTTGTCATTTTATATTAAAATGATACTGTAGGTATTTCTTCTACCCAATGTCAGATTACTTGTAATATAACATAATAAAATTATTTGCATTAAATGACGTCTCTTCGTTTATTAAAATAGCACACATTCACATATGTATGTTTTCTTCTCCCTTCAGAGGCTATTTTTAATAACAAAGAATGGTTTTATATTAAGTGTGTGTGTGTTTCTCTTTATTTCTTTGGGGCCCTAGAATATAACTATCCTGTATATTTTAGCACTATGCTTCCAACAGCTCTTTTTTTTCTGTAGCGATTTTCCCTTACTTTTCTCTCTGACCCTTTCTTAAATCTCCTTCTTTCTGAATGTTTTGTTTCAAGTCCTGAAAACCTCTTCTATACTTTTCCTCATCTCTTTCCTGGACTCTACTAATTCCCCTCTAGTCAGCACCCATTGCCTTGATTCTGGTTACTCTTCCCTCTCTATTAATTTTGTCAGCCTGCTGGATTGCCTTCACTTTTGTAGTTTATCTCTTAATTCATTTGCTGAGACCAGAAGAATGGTGGGAAATTGACAGATTTACTGGCATCTTCTTGTTCGAAGAATATGACAATGCACTTGATTGTCCATTGGGATCAATTGTATCAGATCCCCAGAGCTGATAGTCATTGACATGTTCCCTCACAGAGAGGTGAGTCAGCAAATTCTAACTCCCGGGAAGTTAACTTTTTGGAAAGTCCAGTGTCTTTAGACAGAGGAATTGTTTATGAGATTTTGACCATATTTTTCTAATTGGTTTGGGCATACTTATCAGAATACAGTGAACCCTCGCCACTTCGCGCTTCGACTTCCACGGCTTCACTCTATCGCGGTTTTTGCGTAACAGCGCATGCTCTGTCATTACTGCCACTGATTGGCTCATACTGTACACGCTTCTGTACTGTAATTGTGTGCGAGTGTAATGGTGACTAAAGGGTGTTTTTTCATGTCCTCTATACTCTAACTACGAAAATATTTGATTTACAAATAAGGAATCCTACTTCGCGGAATTTCATTTATCACGGTAGGGTCTAGAACCGATTAACCGCGATAAACGAGGGTCCACTGTACAACTAACTAGCTTACAAAATCAGGAGTAACAAGCAACTTCTTTTGATCCTTCTTTTAAAAAAATGCAATCATTTAAGGAATAATGGTCAACAGAACTGTGATATTAGCAAAAAATAAACAAAAGCTCTTAAAGCATCCTGTTACTGAATTTTCACACATGGCATGCACCTAGAATTTAAATACCGAGTTTATGGAATCTGTATAATGCTATCAAAATCATAAAATAATATTGTCAAAGTTATTATTAATATATATTAGAAAATGGAATAAAATACACATAGCTGTAAAACTGTTTAGGAAAAAAGTCCAAATAAATGATGGAAAATGATAAAATTGCCTATAATTACCCTAAAATGCATTTGAATTTATATCACCCAGTTTACTTTTATAGAAGAATAAAGAATGCAATAATTTGGTTTAAAATTTCCCGCCTACAGGTTTAGTTTTGTTTCTAAATTTTGCCAGCACATGTGTGTACCCTTCATGTGGAGCAGAAGTGAAGAACTTGGAATTCTTAGAATAAAAGCATGTGTAATAAAAGTGGCATTCGGAGTTGACCGTTCTACTTGATATTCTTTCTCTTTTGTTGTCGCAATACTGAGGCAAACTATACTATCATGTGTGATGTGTACAAGTATAAGCAATGAGCTATGATCCACATCTGTAAGCTTGTTTTAAATTGAAAATTGAGTCCAAAGATTGGGATCAAGAAAACATAGCAGCTATTTTGTAAGTGATACTGTCAACTTTTGGTTATTCAGAAAAACGAGCAAAGTCCCCAAAATAATATACTCGAATATTCTACAAGTTATGATGTAGGTTTCGGGAGTTGTCTTTTTACTATTATTTATTAGGATGGGTCTCACATCACTAAAATGAAGATTTCTCCATATCAGAACCAAATCGATTTCTTAACTTAGCAATAAAATCACTGCACATAATTAATTACGCACTAAAATAGGCAGAAAATCACTGCACATAATTAATTACGCACTAAAATAGGCAGAGAATCATGTGTTCTCCTCTACACAGGCTGAAACCCCAGCCCTAGTGCTCATGATGCATCATCCATCGAAAACTATAACAAACCCATGGTTAAATATATTTCTAAATGTAAACATCATTTATCTGTGAAGCAAATATATAAATATAAAAACAGTTATAATGGTTCATTTAAATGAATAGGAAATGCAACTAAAGATGCAACTACAACAATGATAATTTAGTGAATAGCAATCCACCTCTCTTCTGGCTGCTTCTATCAAGTCAGTGTTGATATGGGTAATTTTTAGTGATATGCCTAAAAGGTGTACGAAGGAGAATGTAGGAAAATGAGGACTAGAACAACGTACCCATGGATGGGTACGATGATTCCTGAACAACCAAGACCAGGTTTGAATATCAACTAGACATCCTTATTTCCTGTCTTTTTAATGCTGCAGTTTTAGCATCAAAATATGTGCTTTTTACATAGTTTGATATTATGGATTCTTTTAAAATATCAGTAGGTAAGGACACTTATGGCAATTCATTATATTTACTGATTATCTAAAATTAATGTAATATGTCTGTAACAATGCTAGTCCCATATTTAGATTTGTAAGCCTATTCTGAAATAGTCTGTCATCATCATTATTGACCTGAGCTACTGCTTATGATTATAGGTTTTCATGAAATATCAGCATATTATTTATAAAGTGTGGATACTTTTAAAATTTTCTTCAGCTATAAAGTTTACTCTATACAAAAATAAAACACGTAAAATAGGATATCTTACACCATTTCTAAATATTTTAAGAAAATCATTTCCCCATTAAAGAAGCAACTTCATTATTAACTAGTAAAATATTTTATTTTTAGCAAATTTCTCTCACATTATTATTATTATTACTAATTTACTCATTCAGTATTTGCTTTAGGTAGTAAAAAGGGAATTTTTGGAAATTACAATAATCATGAGACTAAGCTACTTAATAGAAACTGTTTTAATTTACTTACCAATATTGGAATAAAGATGATTAATCGTTATTAAAAATCCTGTGCTAATAATTATTTTAAACCTCATTTATAGCATCATTAGAAAAATGTTTCAAAGAAACAACTTTGATTTTCAGAATATTGTTTTATAAAGATAAATGATCTTGTTTCTCTCAAAGGGTTTTTACAGTGACAAATCACATGGCATAAAGATACATATACAGTGTATAAAATAGAATCATGCTACTCTGTAAATATTAACACATAAATTTGACAGCCTTTGAAATCATATCAGTGTGTAAAATTCGTGGCTATGTTTTGAAACTTCATTTATCCCAGAAAGAAACAAAAAGAGGGAGCAAGACAAATAGCGATTCAATGAGTTTACTTTATTTCCATCATAAGGATCCATTCAATTTTTAATTAATGTTGTAATAAAAGTACATGTTTAGTTCACTGGGGAAATTAAAAGGAATTTAGCATTAAATCTAGAGGTATGAAATGTTCTGATGATGAACAGATTTTACTAGCTCATAAACATGAGTTTTATACCTGGATTTGTTAATAAAATATGATTCTTTAAAATAATTTCTTTAACGTGACAATACCATGAAAATAAAATTTGAAAAACATTGGACTATAATGATTCCTATGGTCATGTTAGTTCCAGATAGTGAGGCTATATTTGTATCTCATGCAGTAAAAAGTAAAAAAGAATGATTGAAGTGCACTCTAAAGGTTGGAAGAGAAAACACACAGTGCCATGCACAGCCGCATGCACACTTTTAAAATTAAAGCTCTCATACTAGATATGCAATATCTATATTTTGGGACAGAGAAAATCTGTCGATCATTTTCTTAAAATTGTTCACAATAAAGTATAAGGTAATTTGCAATAACTCATTTCTAACAATTTAATTAATAGACCAAATGTGACTTATTCAGTACACATACAGTACTTAAATTGTGTGTGAGGAATCTATATACGTGTCAGTACTTCTGAACCTTATTTCATCAAACCTTATTTGTCATATATATTTAAATTATATATATATATATATGATTTCATTTTGTTCCTAATCAATGAATTCTGTATAAGGATTTGAGTGCTTTCAGATTAAGAAGGTTTCAATTTTCTCCCCTTTTCCACTGGGTATAGGTCCAAAATTTGCCAGGGAATACTTATGAGTACCTACATCTACATGACATATGAATAAATTACAAAGAGATGCACATGGATATTAATTAATCAGTAAATGCTTAGATTGGTTTACCATAGCCGCAAAGGAATGTGTGTTTCATTTCCTTCATTAGATACCACCTTGTAGAATTCTAAATGCCTGAAGTTTAGAATCTACCACATTTCCATTTTACAAATGGATAAAGATTTGCATATTGTGTGAAGTGCTTTGCTCACTGTCATCTCTCTCAGAATCATGAGAAAAGATCACCAGGGACTTTGGTGCCAACTCCCTGGGTTCTTTGGGGTCACCTTCCTGCGCCATGATATCTAGCCAAGTGATTTGAAGCATCCAATATTCTATTTCTTTGTCAAAAGGATATTTAAAAGCACATGTATTTTAAAGGATTATTTGCCTGTACTATAGAAAGAAGTTGTCTATAATTATCACTTTTTTTTTTTTTTTTACAATAAATGCTATGGTTTCCAACCAGGTAGATTTTGCAACCCAGATGGCATTTGGCAATGTCTAGAGACATGTTTGTTATCAAAAAGAGGATTGCGGTGATACTGGAAACTGAGCCTAGACAGATGATTAAACTTCACACATGCGTGGGAGAGTGCCCCGTCAAAAAGAATTCTCCAGACATAATGTAAACATTACTGAGGCTGATAAACCATGGTTTAGTAGAAAGAAAACATATTAAAAGCCTCGTGGTATACTTTCTAAGAAGTGTAATATTTAATATTTACATTTAATGGATATGTTTCTTCTGTATCAGTTGACTCTTTTTAGTCATTTGAATGTTACAGACATTCTCATAAGAAATCAAAGAAAAATGAAAGAGAAAAATCAATCTAAGATACTATTTGAGGAAACATTTTTTTAAAATAAATAAACAGACTAGACAATATTTTACTTAATTCTGTCCTCTGAAAATGCAATTATTTCTTCCATTCATCCAAAACTATTGATGTTTCTAATGATTATAATGTCCATCCCCCCAATTTTCCAAAAAGACAAACACTCTGAAATCAAAAGATTTAATGAAAGGGAAAATATTCCATTTTTAGAGTAATTTAAAAAAAAAAAAAAAGATTAATAAAAATAACAGGGCAAAGACTTTGTTAGAGATGTTTATTTGTAATGCTCATTAATCCCCACAAATAAAGCTAATCACTTGTGAAATATATCTTAATCATTTCATTTTCCAAAAACATTTTAGAATAATGATTGCTGAATCTCTTGTGAAATAATAGTGCGAAACCACAGACCTTGGCCTTGAGTCTGATAGTATTCTTAGTTAGTTTAGAAATCTAGATAGCTCTAATTTTCGTGTCACTAAAAAGCTGTTGAATAAAAATGTTCAATAGTTATATGTATGGTGGTTATAAAGCTCTGCAGATAGTAGCAGACCTTAGAATGGATTAAATGTCAATAGGATGTAGAAGCTGTTAGGTAAAGAAGAAACTGCTAGGACTTCGGGATTCAAGGAAAAAAATTAAACATTTGAAAGTGTTATAGGAATAATGTAGTGATCATCATCAAAATATCTTTATTATTTAAAAATTAAATTCAATGAGTTATTCGAAAAAAATTGGTCTTCAACTGGACTTAATTGAAAAATTTTACAGTTATATTTTGTGCTTCTTGTAGTAGAAATAAAAAGAAATGCTTGTGCAATGAAATACATCCTTTAAATGAAAAGTTGCTTGATAAGCATGTGAAAATTATTTTCCATCCATATGTGCCACTAATAAAAGTGATATCAAAAAAGAACAAATATGTATGAACTCACTCCCTATTATAAATAAATACAACAGCTTTTTTTTTCAATTGTGAACAGATTTCCGAGGTACAATTTTGGAACGAGTCTTTGAAATTGGAGCTCATTCAATTCATTTCTCCAAAATGTTTGTCCTTATGTCAGTGTGAAATGTTGAGGTTTGCTTCCAACTACATCAATACATCCATCCAATGTGTGCTTTCTTCATGCAGGGATTTGAGGCGACTCGGAGTGACTCTTGTCGGTCACCAGAAGAAGATCATGAACAGCCTTCAAGAAATGAAGGTGCAGCTGGTAAACGGCATGGTGCCCTTGTAACGTCATTTTTAATACCCCTGCTTCACGTAAACGAGCCTTGGTAGCACCATGGTTAATACTCAGCTGCTAACCCCACGGCCAGCCGTCCCAACAAGCAGCTGCTCCCAGGGAGAATGATCCATCAGCCTGCTTCTTGAACCATTCCAGCCTTGGGAGCCGCGGGGCAGTTCTACCCCGTCCTGCGGGCTCTCTGTGACCTGGAATTGACTTGTCACCCAGCGGTTTGGTTTGGATGGATGTTCCAGTGAACGACTCTGCACTTTGTAAACAAGCCCTGAGATTTATTTTAACAAAAAAAAAAAAAAGGGAAAACTCAGTGATGTCTAAACTTTAAGAGAGCATTTGTCTCAGCCTCAGAATTTGTAATCAGTGTTTTACTAAAATTTCTTTATCGTCCACTCAGCGTGCTCATTTTTCATGAAGAAATGTAACCTGCATGGGAAAAGAACGTGAGACTACATATTAAAACAGCACCGCCCTTCCCCGTACTTCCATACGATTTTGTCCATGAAATATATGACTATATATGGCACCTTTACTGACTGAAGTAAAGCAGCTCCTTTCAAAACTTCCCAGGAAAACGTCCAAGGATTTACCTGAAAGGACACATTTCTAGTCTTTTGTAGGCGATCGAAATCTGCAGTTTACTGAAGTTTACTTCACGTCTTAATGGTCTACTTCAGTGTATTGAGCAATATGGGTAGATTATTTCCTAATAGATACCTTTTTTTGTCATTTTAAAACGCTGTTACACAGCGATAAGTTATAGAAACTAGTGTATAAACATGTTGCTTGATCAAGAACAAGTACAAGACAGGGTGCATATTTATTTTTCTGTGTTATAAATCTACTTTTAGTTTGCTCTTCTAGAGACATTTAGGGTATAACTGTATATATTGTATAATTTGCAACCCAACTAGACACCAATTTCGGTTGGAAAGGTGAGTGTGTGCTTGCACCTGTGTACATTACCATTCTGCCTGTATATTTTTAAGTGTCTCCATTTTCGCACAGACAAGTTTCCAGAGTGTCATATGAATAAGGTGAATGGGGAAGCAGTAAAGCAAACTTTCACACAAACGGTGTCTTTTTCTCTCTCATGTGTCCAAAAGCTACGAAATCTCTTTATTCTCTCACAGGAAATGTCTATAAGATGAACTCCCCTATGACTTTTTAAACACGTTCTGATATCTCTGACAACGTAGTTCTTTTCGCCATTAATCTTGTACCCCTGTAAGAAATTTCACCCCTCTGAGTCCCAGAAAACATCTTGTCAAGCGAAGTTGACACGAAAGGGCACCTTTTCAGCAGGATGCAGAAGGATTGAACTGTGCAGAGTCCTGTTCCTGTTGGGAAATCCAGGCACAGAGCACCAAGTATTACCCCAAGTGTTAATCCTTGGTAACCATTTCCGTTGTGGCGCGTCTCTAGAAATGCTGATAGCAGGACAGCATCGGAACGATGACAAATAATACATATACATTTCTTCCCACATTCTCTAGTTAAAAAAATCAATAAATGTCATTTGGTGATGGAGCTTTATTTCTTTAGTGATTTCATCTTTAACTCAGTTCCATGGCATTTTGTTTGCTTTGATATGCCTTTTCAGAGTATTATTCATTGGCTTTCTTAATGAATACAAGGTCTATCTTCTAAATGTGTTACCTACCACTCCTGGTAATGACTAAGAATTAAGGTACACATTATACACTGTGTGAGACATTATAAAAAACTGGACTTCTTTATGACAAAATCAAAGTTTGTATTGTTACATTCCATAAAATCATGTGATGTCTGTGATTATATATCCATGTGTGTTAGGAACCACCGTGTTTGAATAGAATACAGACAACTACTGATTATCAATGGCAAAAATATATTACAGTAGTCTGGATTGGTGAAATCCATAAGAAATATACCTGCATTATAATGATAGCACTATGCCTCCTTCTTGATCATTTGTTTACTTGAATGTGTGGCACCTACAAGATAGAATTTCTAGGTTATCATCTCTTTCCACTCTATATAACCATTACTTAAGCAGTGAAATTGCGGTTGACTAAGTCAATAAGCAAAAGAGAAAAGAAAAGAAATAATCTATTTTTTTTTCAAACCATATACTGAGTTCTATCAGGGCTATATTGTATATCTGAATATGTCCACTCACACTTTGCTTCAAATATACTGCATTATGTCTAGTAAAATATTCAAAGAAAGTAGGTAAGCAAGGTGGATCTAACATTGTCTTAATATCATAGCAAGTATACATCACTATTACTAAAGGCACATTCTTTTCACATTAATAAGCTGAAAAAATTAAGTAAACAATTCTCTTTTTAAAGCAATTAAAGATTGTGGTGTATTTTATTGAATTTTTAAAATTAATGAATCTAAATAATAAAAGTAAAAAATAGTGACATCAAAATAAAACTAGACTTAAAATCTTAAAAGAAACTACCATATGGTTTAGATTTGGGGCACTAATCACACTTATTGATGCATAAAAAAGATCTTTTAGAGATTATTTTCAAATGTTATATGCTAAAAGATGAGTAGAAAGTCAAATAAATGTCTTATTTCAAACTTATAATTAGAAAGCAGACCACAAATTTTCTTTTTTTTTTCATAAAATAAACCTTTAAGTTAAATGTACTTATTTCCTTTACAATTTTGATTTTTACTTAGAAAATGAGTTGAGATGAAAACTATACAGCCACATAATATTCGTGCATATCTCAATTTGGTTCAGACTTTCTAAGGAATACAGTGATGAGATTAGAAGGAATAAAGAGACTTTCTCACCAAATATTTGTTCAACTTTGGATATTTCACTAATTGGAAAGTGTCTTTTTTTATCTACAAATGTGATAAATAGGACAAGAAGAACCAACTCGAGTGAAATTTTTTAATCCTTTTGGTTTAGTTTTTTGTCACCCGTCAGGTTACCAAAAATAAAATATAGGGACAGTAGTTTTAGCACTTAAAACAACTGTTGAATAATTCAAGACATTCAAACATTACTGTAGCTTTCAGTATCAATAAATACAGTTGGAGCACGTAGCTCTCTCAAATATGGATTTTGAAAATTAGGATTACTGTAAATGTTTATTACATTATGTAAACTGTTCTGTGGCCAGCATTAATAGTTTCAGTTGACTGAAAAACAACAAGTATTTTAAGTTCCGTTTCTATAGGAGCCCAAGTGGTGCAGTGGTAAAGTGATTGGTTGTTTAGCAAAATGTTGACGATTTGATCGCACTAGCCACTCCTGGGAAGAAAGATGTGACAGTAGCTTGTATGAATAGTTCAGCCTGGAAAATCCTGTGAGCACTTTTATTCTGTCCTCTAATGTTCCTATGGGTTGGAATCAACCTTATGGAAGTGGTGGACTATGGTTTTGTATCGAACGTTTAAACAGTACACAGGGGTAAAAAAGACAGTTTCATTTCTCAAATTTAAAATTAAAAAAAAGTTGAGCACTTGTGTATTTGCACATCTGCTATTTAATCTCTACTTGTAAGTAAAGATTTATTTAACATCATTCTTTCTCATTTAAAGTGGATTTTTAGAAGCACAAGCAGAGATATTTACTTTTGGAAGATATGTTGGCTGTAGTGAAGCATTGGATGACAGATGTTATGAGTCAGGAGTTAGAAATTTGCTAGATGTATGGTGCTGCATAGTATAATAGGGTAGTTTTCTTATTTTGTTCTAAAATTGTAAACAACAAAAAGAAATCTAGGTATGATAGTAAATGCTCTTTACTTATGTCCTGTCAAATGTTTAAACTCAAAGTAAATTAAAAATAGGTACAATAAGATGATGATGAAGAGGAGGATGAAGACTAAATAGAATAAAAGATTGTTTTCTCTCAATTAATAACCAGAGAAGTCAATTACATTCAATAATTGTCTCCATTTGTTGTTGATTGTATAGTAATATATCAATGAAGATACAGACAAGAACTTTTTATTTCTTTTCACATTCATTTGTGAGAGAAAACTTTTCTTACATATAAATGATTGAATGTGTTTGTTCAGAAGGATCATGCAATTAATGCTAGGAGGAGCAATTTTTCAAAATTATGTTTTTCCTAAATGTTAAAGATGGAAAAATGTGCATTATTGGTTCAATTTGGGCTATCATAACTATAGAAGTTTCAGTGATCAACATAAATGTCAAACTGTACAGTGCTATAGTTTTACCATCAATTATTTTTAAGCTAGTAAATAACAGCCATAATTGTCTGAGGATCATACTTAGACTTAGCCATTCATTAATATGTCTATCAAAAATGTTCATTGCAGACAAGTCGGAAATAGCTGCCAATGATAGACATCGGGAAATCTCAAGTCCTAATCTCAGAGTTAATTCAAAATAAGGATAGCATTTCTGTATTCTTTCACTTTTAAGCTCAATGTGCATTTGGTTTGTGTACATGTTTTTGTAGTGTAAGATATGAAATCTTATATTTTTTCAGAAAATAAAAAACCTTTGAATACAGTTAAATTTGATTGTCATGCTTGACCCTCCATCCTCCAGAGCAGGTTGACATGTGCACCTTACCCATTGCTCTAATGGTCGGAGTCAGCTCTAGATTTTGCATTTATTATTTCAAGTGGTTGAAAGGTAAGCAGGATGCATTTCCTCCAAGACAAACACTTGCATGGTTGAGATTATAGGACAGGAGCGTTTTCGGTGTCAGAACATAATTAGAAGTTGATTGCCACATTGTAATACAACATTACTTGAAGAAAATATGAAACAAACAGAAAACAAATGGTTCTCATCTGTAAAAATGGACTTGCTATGGTCTCTTGGCTCCATGTATCTGCTCATGGCACAAAAAGGAGTTCTATCATCACAGGAAGGAGGGCACCAAATGCAAACGTTCCCCAACTCTACTGTAGCACAATGTCCTGTACCCTAGGGTCTTGTTTGGTAAAATGACAACAATGAACTGTATTCAAAAAAATAAATAACATCTGTCCATCCATAACAATTGCCTGCTCCATAGCCCAAGAATAACTCGGTCTGTGGATGGAGTCACAATGACAGGAAATATTACTAAGAATTTTAATAGATTTTTCTCATGTAAAGAAGTCTGAATTCTTGCTACTTAGTAGACGATTATTGTCCTTATTCTACTATAGAAATAAAGCTATATTATAAAAGGAATTTTCTCCCAATATTATAGTTGCTCTTGACCAGGTAGGAGAGATAGAGAGGGGTTAAAAAATTAACATTGAGTTAGAATATTTCAATGTACCTTTGAGATACACATTCTTTTCTCTATGTTTTTG